CATTAATAACTGATTTTTAATCCTTATAGACTCACGAATTCCCTCGGTTATCCATGGCTTGTTTAGCTTTTTAATATCTCGCTTACTTAGCTTTTTCAGAGGAGCAACTTTGTTGACAATATTATTTATTTTTCGATAAAGAGAGGAGAAGATTTTGTCAACGTTATTTTCTGAGAAGCACGCTGTGAGATCGCAGTTTCAGAAATTTCTTTCACAAATTCCCTTTCAGAYGATTTTGAAAAGCGTCTAACTTTTTGGCGGTATGTTTTATTGGTTCCTTTGCCAGAAGGAATGATGCAAAATTGTGAGAAATGGTCAGTAATATCAGTAATTAGATTACCGCTGCAAATTCCAGAGACAGGATTGTTAATCAAAATGTTGTCAATAAGAGTTGCAGAATTATTGTAAACACGAGTGGGTTTGTCTATTGTTGGAAACATATACCAGCTTTGTAAAGAAAGTAAAAACGTTTCGCTATATGAACAAGTTTCCGATTTTAGCAAATCTATATTGAAATCWCCTAAGATATAGATATTTTTTTGTGACGAGCTGTAATTTTCTAGTGCATTTTCAAAGTATGAGAGAAAGTCATTTGCACAATTGTGCTGTCTATACACAACTCCACAAATGACATTCCGTTTGTCGCTAAAAAGAATTTCAATCCACAATGCCTGATATGCTTCATTAGATGTCCTTTCCAAGACAGAATAATCAACCTCTTTGTTTATATACAAGCCAACGCCTCCACAAGAAAGAGGCGTAGGCACAAATTCAAAAGCATAATTTGCGATATTCAAATTGACATCCAAAGATTCATTTTTAGTTGTTATTTTAGTTTCGGATACCCCTATTATGTCAAAGTCGATTTCTACCTCATTCAATAAATGAGATTCAAGATTCTCAATATTTTTTCTTAAACTTCTAATATTAGTATCCAACATGGAAAACGAGTAACTTCTCTTGTATGATCAACTAAAATGGTGGCTGTTTCATTGTTTATTCACATCTCCAGGGATTTTGAGTCACATGGTTGCACACACTCTATAGCTTTAGAATTGATATCAATAGATGTCATTACTAATTGCGTGTGGAATTTTTTAAAGCTGAATGGCAAGTTTTCAATAGAAAATGTACATGGTTGATTAAGCATGCTATGAAGGGAAGTGTTTGCTCTTGAGATAAGGGCTAGCATTTACAAAGAAAGCATACATGTCTTACATGTGGAAGTATAGAGTTTAAAGTTTAGGTAAATCTCTGCGTTTTGTTCACCTTCTAATGAAACTATAACTAGAAGATTTCGTCCAAACGTAAAGCAATATTTACAATAGCTTTTCACCGAGTAGCGGTGAAATTTAATGGCGAAAATCTTGTTTGTTTTGAAGAGACTCTTTTGCTTGCGAGCGTGTCTTGCTTTGCCAGGAGCTGATCGCATGCTGTACGTACAATTTATATTACTGTTTTAGGTTTCTTCAGTGGCTTGGTGTGCATGAATTATGTGCAGTATCTACATAAGGTAAGTGTGTTTTGCTGTATTTTTTACAGTTATCTACGTTCTTATTATTATTAAAGAGTTATTCAACATGAGGAAGCAAAGGTATGATCGCCATGTTAGCAGAATAGCAAAGAGAGAGGCCGAACGAGAAAGAAGGGTAATTCTCTGTTCACCCATTCTTCTTACTTTAAAATCGTTACTTAACCAATAGTTTTTTTAAGCTTTAAAGTCTTAGTTTCTGTGCTTTCAAACCAGGGTAAAATATCAAGAAATGGTTTGCAATTTTTCTCAGGACAATAAAATATCAAGGAAGTGGCGGCCATGTTGGATGGCATGCCAAGGAAAAGCGTTTGCGCATGCGTGCATTTCAGCAAGTTTTCCAAGAATAGGATGTTTGTTGGATGGCGTCATTGACCTCTACTACCAGACTCCCTTGCAAACTTTCTTTCTTTCAGTCAATTAGCACCGATTGTCTTACTAATTTCATGAGGGAATACAAATTTAAATAAGAAAGAAAAATCGCGAAGCATCTTGGTAGCTCGGGGAGTCAAATGACGCCATTATGCAAACGTCCTATCAAAAAGACGCCAAATGTTCGTTTCTCTGAATTATAAAAGATTCGTCAGTATCCTTTTTACGGATCCAAAAATTTTTTTCAAAAGACAATATGTAGAACTGACCTTAAGTTTTGGAATTTCGTAAAGACCATTTTTCAGTCAAAGGTGAAAATCAAATTTGCATATTTTTATCGATCATAGCATGAACTTAGAAAGACTAAGTTGTGGACTAAGTTGGAGTATGCGCAAACGTTTTTGCAACATCAGTCACGTGAGGTGACGTCAACGGGCGATAAGAAAGACGCGGCCACCGTTTCGTACATGTAATAGTGCAGTAATCAGACCTATCACATTCTGGCCAGCACAACGACGTTGTAGACAACGACGGACGGAGGCATTTTCGCAGTATAAAATTCGTCGCGCGCAACATTGTAGAATTTTGGTCTTGATTTTAAGCCGTTAATGTTAATAAATAAGTGATCATTTAAAAAGTGAAGGCAATAAAACGAAAGAAAGAACTGATGAAATGAAACGAAAAAGAAAAACATCCATGCAAGGATAAGCCGTCCCTGCTTAAAAATATACATGATTTTAGTGTCTCCTTGGTCTAGTGTCTTGTGATCCCCTCATTCTGTACTTATTCTCTTCTTTTTATAAAATGATTTTTGACATGATTTTTTCTACTACCCTCCCCCTCCCCCTCCCCCTCCCCCTCC